TTGACTTCACAGGCATTTCCGCTTCAGTAGCTTTTTACCGCCTCGTTTTTCCGCCTGTATGCCATTCCGTCGTTTACGGAAGCGCATGGACGTCGAAAGTCACGTCTCGTACGCGGTGTGGTAAAAGGGTTAAAGAAACATCGTCACGATTCAACAACATGATGCGCAAGAAAGTGCACTCTCGCGTTTTTCCTAGAAAAGAACGAAGGAAAATCAAAGGGCACGTGTCAGATTTCTTTATTAATTATGGAAATAAGGACTAGGCTCGCGATGTATCTTTATGTTTTTGCATTTATACGAGAATTATATTTTTCTTTGAAAGAATATTATTTATAAATAATAATTTTTTAAAACAATAAGATAGGTAAATAAAATGTTGCTTATGTATGTCATGATTTTGAAGATGTAACTAGTGTATGTACGTTCTGTGTATACTTGTGTGTGTGTGTGCGAGAAAGCCGAGGCCAAGGAGAGAGAGAGAGAGAGGAAGAGAGAGAGAAAATTACGTTTTTCTCGTCTGTGTTGATCATAGTCGAAATTTTGATCTTATTTTCAACTTTAATTTTGTTATTTTTATGGATTTTAGAAGATTTTAATACATTGACCGATGTAACTAGTGTATGTACGTTCTGTGTATACTTGCGAGAAAGCCGAGGCCAAGGAGAGAGAGAGAGGAAGAGAGAGAAAAAATTACGTTTTTCTCGTCTGTGTTGATCATAGTCGAAATTTTGATCTTATTTTCAACTTTAATTTTGTTATTTTTATGGATTTTAGAAGATTTTAATACATTGACTTTATATAGAAATTGAACTCTTACTTTATACGCAGTAAACGAAGTTTCCCACTTAGAGGTTTCAAAAAGAGGATCTTTCGGCGATACTGTAGATTAAATAGTTTTAAAAGAGGATTATATTTAACTGCTTAAAGTATCAAAGCAGATGTTAGATTGAAAATTGAGATTGAAAATAAGGAGAAAAATGTCGACTTGGGAAGGGTCAAAGATGATCCAAGCATGTCTGAGAAACGCATATCCCTCTTTCTCTCTTCGCTCTTGGAGAGAAAAAAAATCTTCTTTTTTTCTGTTATAACGCTATCGGGAGCCGTGACCGAGTTTCTTCACCGCGAGTTTTCTTCTTGCCATGATTCGATAAGCGTGATCGCTATGCCAGGAGCAACAAACGGTGTGACCTTGCCCTTTTGTATGGCGGCTTCAGGGTTCAATAATATCGTCGATAATGTTCGTAATGAGACGCGCGAAGCGAGCTTTACGTCGTCTTTAATTCACATCCTGACGCTTTTTCCCAGCCACTTTATTACTTGCTGCTCATGCTGCTATGATCTCATCATTATGGCAGTGAATCGCTATCGCTGTTTGTTGTCTTTTACTTGTACGACCATTCATGTTTAAAAAAATGACGAGAGGGTATAAAGAATTTCAACAACTATGTTTATTGCAGCTCGTAAATATTTTAATTTTAATTTTTAATATTGTTTATTTATATTTATATATTTTTTTCTTTTTTCATATGCTTTATATTTTTAATTAACAAGATTACGCGAGAAAGGGGGAGAGAGACGATTGTAAAAACTTGAGTTTCAAAATTATAAAAAAAAAGAATGTAGGAATTGTTTTTTCACGTCAAGGAGGTGCGTTTACGATACGCGCATCAGGGCGGTGCGTTTAAGCGAGGATTAAAAGGGGGCTAAAGAGAACGAAAATATCTCTTTGTTCGAGAGACACATTCCTCGATATATATATTATCCGCCTTAAATGGCGGCGCAAGCGAGCAGTGACGTGGTACGCGATGCACACACAACCGGTTCTCCAAAGCAAAGGGGATCCGCGAACACAATGCGGGAGAAATCTTGCGTGCTCGATGACCAAACACGGCCTAAGTCCAACGGTCACCCTCCTCGGGGATCCTTGCGTGTCTCCCTTCGTGGACGGACGCACGTGTTCGCGCGATTACCAAGTCGCTCATATATGGCCTCGGCGAAACATAGTTGCCGAGAAACGTGTACATTAACGCGCCATAAAAGATATTTTACGACTGCGGTAGTTAGGATGATCCAGTTTGAAAAATAGGAGAAGTATTATGGAACGCGATAAGAAGCACGCTTAATCATTATGCCACTAATTTTCTAGAAATTCGATAATATTGTCATGACTGTCTCACACTTATAACTAATTTAATCACAACTAATCTTGCAGAAATAATCATAGAAATTTTAAAAGAAATCACATTTCTCGATTTGTTTCGAGAGATGCTCTTATCAAATAAATAGCGGTAGTTTTACCGTTAATATCTTCTTCCGGTTACGTTATCTCGTCTGGCCCTTTTCGTTATCGTCGGCTCTGTAACCATCTTTCGATAAGAAAATAACATATAGAAGGATCTAAAAGAAAAAGACTACGATAAGCGGAGAAGAAAGTGGAAAGATAAGAATTCTTGCGAAATACTTTTTCAACTGATGTGAGATACACTCTTATCATAAGGTATCGGCCGATAGAACAATACGATAACGAGAGTTGTTAACATCAAGAATATTACATTATAGTGGAAAAATAACGTACAAATTAACATATAAATTAACTTATATATTTTAATTTTAATATGTAAATTTATACATACATAAAATAATATTTCCATGCTAAAATATATTCTATTAATTTCAATACATTATGCGTAGGCTTTTTATGCTTGAAAAGTCATATTTATAAAAATAAAGTTTTTCTCTAGGGTGTTCTTTATATGGGGTTTTCAGTATCACGAATATTTTATGAGAGAATTTCACGATGCGAATTTTCTTGTATATATTTTCTTGTAATCTGCCTTTTACAGTCAAAGAAAGTAAACATTGTCACTCAAACATGTTTTGAGAAATAAAATTGAATTGGTTATAAAAAAGGGGTCATATTGAATGGATAAAGAGGATCGAACTTCAATCTTCGTAATGATGTCCCATCTGAAAGGCCCTTTTGTTGAAAACATTGCGGAGGAGCATCTCGAATCGCTGTTATATTCGAAAGGTCCTAAAGATGCGCGCAAAGAGACGAGCAATATTATTCGCGTTGTTTGCATCCGGCAATTTTTCGCGTATTAAAGATGTCCCGTAATTTTAATTGCGACAATTTTCAGTAGCAGCGAGAACGCAAAATAATTCTTACTTATTATTATCATGTTTCATGCATCAATTGAGTGTTCATTGCGGAGTGTTAAAAAATAAAATTTAAATCTTATTGAATAACGCTAATTAAAAATTATTACAGTTTAGCGGAGGGTCATAAATCATTTCGCGCCTTTTCCACTTTTCCATTTTGCCGAACGTCCGTTAATCGGAAGGATAATCATCCATATTTTCGCGTTCTCCTTCTCTACTTCTTCTCTTCGCCGAAAGTCGGGAACGGTGCGCTTTTTTATTTCCTGGCGCGAATCGGAATTCGTTCCCGACGGCGGCGGTCGGGAACAAGACGCGCTTCCTCCGCGTCTCGAGAGACATAGTCGAGGAACCCCTAAAGATAGCGACACTTCGCCACGTGTCGACTAGCAGACAGACCTGCGACCGTTTCGTCATCCCGACCGACGCTTTCCGCGAAATATGCGGCGGTTTTAGTACGCCGACGATCAGCAAAATTATATTTATTCTTGATTGCACTTCATGCAAGAGAAATATTTATTAAATCAGGAAAACGAAATATTGAAGATTAATGATTTCGTGTCTGCGAAGAATCTAATTCGATAGCGAATTTGATTGAATGCATTAGTGTGCACTGGTGCACATTAAAGATTGTCGTATACAAATTTACATTAGCATAAGTAATTAAAACAGCAAGATAATTGATACTACGAGTTATTATTGTTGTTATTTGATATACGAATAACGATAATAATAATTATAACTCGATGTATTAATTATCTTACTGTTTTAATTTGTTTATGTTATTAATGTAAATTTGACGACAGTCTTTAATGTGCATCAATGCATCCAATCCGATGTTGCATCCAAATCACGACTTCGTGATTTAGCAAAATTAAGGCCGAAAAGTCCGCGTCTGAGTTTTCATTTGCAAATAAGTCAGATATTAAAAAGATATATTGCATTAATAAGTTGCATTTAAGGATATACTTCTTTTTTAATTTTTTCAATCAATAAAGTTATGATATAATATTGTCTAGATAAAATTAAAATTCTGTATTAATTTTTTATTTACGGCCAAATAAATTTTTAGATCCCAGTAAGAAAAAATATGCGGAATAAAACTGTATATATAACAGAATACTAAAAGATTAATGGAATACAATTAATTGGTAAAACATCTCCCTTCGTAATATCGGGCATGCTGAATTTTTCCAGTTCGGTTGGCTGTCGCAGTTTTTATTCCGATGCAACACGCGGATAAATCAATACAGTTAAGTGCACATAAATAAAGTTATCTCCATATGAACATCATGATACGTACATTCTCTCTCCAAGATTACATTGCGCACGCTTTATCCTCGTTACGATAACGATCTCGTGTCGCGAAATAATTTTCACTTCTAACGATTCGTTTTTCGTGTTTGTGCAGAGAGCGTGAGAAAATGAAGAAAAAGAGAGGATTTTGCCGCGATTTTTCCATCATCGCACATACATGCGACTCGATAAATTGTCATATCATCCCAAGTTAGTAATCAATCGAGAGTTATCGTTCCACAACGATCGGTGCCGCATGCACGATCTGATAGCGCATTCTTGCTGAACTATTTCTCATCATGGCAGCCAATCAATGTGCACAAATTAACATTTTGTCGTACATTGCACGAGAGCACAAGAACTGTAAATCTGCGCCGACACCCCACATAGAGTAAATTTGCGTAAATCTTTGCGTTTTAGAGTACATATGTATATTTTTTGTAATAGGCTTTGAATTATAAACGGTATGAAAGAAATTTATATCATTAACACTATTTCATTTAATATCGTAAAATTTAACTATTTCCTCTTCTTTTTTGTTACAGCAAAATTATCTTATGAAATTCGGTTATTTACCCCAGACTGATCTCGAGACAGGAAATCTACGGACGGAGGACCAGTTAAGGGATGCTATAAAAAATCTGCAGGTAAGCGAAATTATGATATGTATTGTGCAGCAAAAAAAAAAACTGTCTAGTAATTTAATATTTTCAGTGTTTTACAATTTTAAATGTAAAATATATGATTTATGTTTTGCGTAAAATGTTCTTATCATAGGACTTTAACTGAAACAGTTTACTCAAAGCTTCGACTTACTAATTAATAGATGAAATTTGATTCGCGCGCCGACTTTCGCACAAATCAGCTTAAATCAATGATTCTTATTGTAAATTATACAACATTTTGAGATAACATGAGAACTGTATAGTGAATCAAATAGAGTCGCGAGCGAACTTTTCTATTCCACAAAAGTACGTATATACCTATCTCGAAAATGCGATCGATTGAATACGGATTCTCTGAAAGCTGTCGTGAGCGAATCGATGAAAATCCTATTGAAGGAAGTAAGAAAATGGGGCAGTGTCCTTAGGGATTCCTTCGAGTGTCGGATATATGTCTTTTCTTCTCGATTCTCATGCAAATCTTTATTGAATAAGCTGGAGTAGCATTTCTACTATTATATTTTCCTCTCGCAAATGGTTGCATTCCGCTAACCATCGTCCGAGATGGGCGGAGAAGGAGGGCATAGCTTGATCGAAAGCATCAAACTTAAATGCGAAATAGAAGGCATCGGAATGCTTCGGACATTCTATAATCTTAGCTCCAGGGGGAGGCCGCAAGTTTTATCCATCGATGTTTCGCAATGGTTTTATCGATAATCGCGTTTGTCAGATTCCGGACGCATTTCTGGTTGAAATGCTCGAAAGCGTTTATCTCTCTTCAAAAAGATAAAACTGAATCTTTGTTGACTGAAAGAAGTGATTGTGTTTACGGGAAAAAAACTAGTCAAACAATAAAATGGGTTTCTTGAAATATCGATGATATAAAATATTCTGGAAATTTGTCGATTTTTATATACATTTTGAAATATTGTTTTCTATATATATATATATATATACCGTGCTTTAGTTATATTAAAATATTCAATTTATATAGAGATAGAAAATGAATAAAATGTACTTAACTTTTCGATGTAGGAATTTTTATATATGATAATATTATTATTTGCTGATCTTGTGTGTGTGTGTAAAAAATAGTTATTTTTCGTTTTGTTTATTAAAAAAAAGAAAAAAGTATATATATATATTGTAAATAGTTAAATGCAAAACTTTTAGCATCTCTTTATCTTTTTAAACATTGATCACAGATAATAAGGAAAATGCAATTTATCTCTCTATATTTTTTGATATTTCTGTAGACGTTTTCTTTTTAAACAATATTTTGTTTTTGAGAGATTATACTATAGTATATATGTAGTATGTACGAGTAATGGTAAATCATGTATATTTACATTTTTGTCAGAAATTCGGTGGTATTCCCGTAACGGGGGAGATCGATAAGGCAACGAGAGGATTAATGAAAGCCAAGAGATGCGGACTGCCGGATCAGCCGGATCCCAGATTCATCAGAACGAGGCATAAGCGTTTCACCATCCACGGACAACAATGGCAGTACCGAAATCTCACCTGGAGGTAAGTCTTCAAAAATATTAATTGAATATTGCTATAAAAATAAGAAAAATACGACACACAATAATTAAAAAATAATGAGTGTCGAACATGAGACAAAATTCGGCTAAGAATTAAAAAACATAAGATAAGTCTTGCAAAAATATTGAAATAATATTCTTATATTGAATATTTCTTATAACGCAGTTTATTTGACATTTGCAAAATCATTTTACAAATTTTTTATATTGTATGTATATTGAGGGTTAGAAGTTTTTTATTGCTCTTACAAAAGCATACGAATCTTTTTAATCATTTAACTGCGTGTAAGTATGATTCTGCGGTTGATTTGAAAAGTTTTCAAAATTTTGTTTTTTTATCGTAAAAATTGTTATCTTATGTTTTGCGAAATTGAAAACAAAGCCGCGCACAAGAAAAATATTTCGGCAATATTTACTCGACTTATTTTTGCACGGGACGTCATGCATGCATCTTGGAACCGTTGACGCACTTGGTATATTTATCGTTTTTTAAAATTATTCAAGAATTCGCATTATATTTCGACGACGGGGACGACGCATTCGGAACGAATTTGCAAGTCACGCGCCGTCAAGATGCGGCGACGCGATGCGTTTTCCGCGAGAGCTCGCGGACGGAATTATCGCGGCGCGGTGCAAGTAACGATAATAATATCCCCGTCGAGATGTTTCTCGACGCGACGATAACTCATCTGTATAGGGTACCTGTTGGTTAGAGACGGTTCAAACAGGATGTCTGGCCCCTTAATTGCGGGCTTCCTCGTGTCGGGGCCTCGCCCTGCGTTAACGTACTAACTCGGCTCGGAAATGCCATTGACATTGTTGGTCCCCGGCCAACTGGCGACTCCTTGAGAATTGCAGAACGATGGAAACACCGAGCGTCTTCCCGAGAAATTAAGGAACGCTTTAGCTCGCTTAAATGGTATTTACATGGTATTTTTCTTGGCACGTAACTCTCTTTATCGAAACACGCTCTTAACTTCAACCTCTAACAATAAGTCTCGCACTTTATAACTTCATCTCAATATATATATGATATTTCCTTGTCTTTTATTATTTATATAAATTTAAGAGAAAATATATTCTCTTCGAAAATATCATACGAAATTTGATTTCACAAATGTAAGATCAGTGTCGTGATATATTTGAAAAATAAGTTTTCGCGAGAATAAAATATATATGGTATATTTTTAACTTTTTGTTTAAATATATTTGGGAGGGATATTGAAAAAAATAAAAGAACAATACATTCTAATATTTTAATAACGCAGCTTGAGCGATGATTTAAGTTTATCATTCTGGTAAATATAATATAAATTGACTATTTCCGTTGTTTTATTGGGCTTAAAAAATTAATTAATTTTAACGTTTGTGAGTATGTGATGAATATTAGCGGTAAAATAGGTCTCTGTGTTGATGAATCGTGCCGGTACCATAGGAAACTTCTAAAATCTTTGTGTTGATACGGAGACCAGCTGCAATATCGGCTCTATTTTGATGTATCATGTGGCACCCTCTAACAATTAATCGATAGGCGCGGTTTTATTAATTTATAATTGAATTGTATTAAATTAAAACAATTCAAACTATGAACTAATTCGCATTTACCTTGTTTTGTCGGGATATTTAATATTGTATTTATTACGCTCTATAATTGCGATAGTTCTATTTTATTTTTACACAACTTTGCCTTTTATGATAAACAAAATTATTTTATTTTTATAAATTATTTTATTTTTATTTTTATTTTATTAATGATATTTTATGTTTATTTATTGATATAAATATATACATATATACAATATTACATAGTTTTTTAAATTAATCTTATCATTATTATTTTATCGTAAAGTATTTTTTAAAATTATGCATTTTAAAGTAAATATTCCGAAATAGTATAGAAAAATTCCTTTTTGACGATTCAATTTCAATTTATGACGTATGGATTATCTAAATTTCCGATATACAACTTTATTTTGTCTTTTTTGTTGTACTTATAAACTAAATTGGAAATTTGTACGTTTTAAATGAACGTTTTAAACATTATTAAAATATAACTCACAAAAAGAGAAAGAAGATATATGTATATCAATTAATAAGTAGAATAAGATAAATTTAACATAAATATTTAAGAAATTAAGCAGTGATCCGTCATTAGTATTATCATTGTTATCTGTGTATTGTTTGAAGTGCATTTGCGAGTTATATCCGATGATAATATTGCGCGGTTGATGAACGTTAATATTCAGACATGCTAATTAGCGCGAATTCTACACGGAGTCTGTTATTAATTAGCCCCCTTAATGAGTCACCCAATCCTTCGGTAGGAACAAACAGAGAGGACTTCGCGGTGAAAAGCGTAATTCCCCGTAATTTTCACTCCTCGGAAAAATCCATGGTGCGCTCTACGTCCGTCGTGCAATCGGGACAATCAGAATCAAAGTGCATTGCCTGGACACACGGGTAGGGTAGGTCGAGTGATTAACTTCGTTATCCGGTTATCGCGCTATGGCTTGTCCGAATTTTTGCGAAAGGATCGGTGGATAACCCAGACCTTTGTGTACGGATTTCGATAGGGGCAAATTTGGCAGATTTTCATCCGCGTCAACGAGAGTTTATTTGCCTTTATAACTTGACTCTATTTGTTCCCATCGGCGCGCGTTCCCATAGGGTCAAAGGAAGATGCGACTTTTTTTTTAGGGGGGGGGGGAAAGCTTGCAAGAATCGCCGTATTTGTCGAATTCGCAATTTCATGTAAACAATCCGTATCTTTATATTTTCTCGTCGGAGATAGAGCTGTTTAAAGAATTGTATTTTTTCTCGAATTAGTTTTAATTTAAAGTCATGCATATATAGTATATATGATTTCTTATGCAGCATACTTCTCTTATTGTTAGAAGAATGTATATTTAATTATAAGAATACATATATAGAAGAATATACGTAGAAGAACATATCTTTATATCTTGTTGCTTCTTAGATATTAAAGAAATCATTTTTTTTTTTTAATTTGCAACGTTAAATGTGCGGTGCAATTTTAAATTGAAGTAGAGACAAGCGCCGCACGATTTAATGGCAATTACGAGGTGAGAAATTAACGGCGACGGCATATTGCCTAATTTTCCCCACGTTGTTTGAATGAGCAATTCAGAAATTAGCATCTCGACGTTCTGAAGTTTCGTGCATCTAGATATCTGGAAAATTTGTATTTTCTTTCTTAATTTTATATTAAATTAAATCCAAATTCAGTGAAATTAATTTAAAACAAATTTTTATTATTTATGGGAGACCTTTCGCGATTCTAATTTACAGGAAAATATTTAATAATATTTTCAGGAGGGGAAGTATTGTATCAAATCTTGTTGAAATATTTTCTAATGATAAATAAATAAAATACAGGAAGAAATTATGTAATATATATTAAATATAAAATTATATTTTTAAATTGTACTTGCAATATTGAAAATTTCGCAATATTGTAGTAATCTTCTAAAATCGATAGCTATTAGCCACAAATATTTATAAGCGATTTATATATCCAATTCGCGATATCGATATCGCGACACGAGAATTTGTATTTGATTCGCACGAGAAATTGTGAATTGGTCTAGTATTGGTTTATAGATCATTGTTTACGAGACAGCTTGAACGTTTCTACGGTCGACTGCATGATCCGCGGAGGCATAGTAGGATTTGTCGTTGTTGTCTCACGCGACGAAGTAGCCGGGCTTTGAACAGGCAAAGACGAATCCACAAAGCTGAAAGTCCGGAGTTGATCCACTGTATTTGTCTTTGTGGATATAACGGAGAAACGTCTCTTCGTAAAAACACGTAAAAACATCAAAGATTGGCGCGTATTCGCGCTGTAATATCAAAATGTTTTGCTTGATAATGTTGGAATAATGATCTTGTGTAACGGAAGGAATACGGACACCATTAATTTTATCTGGTATAAAATTAGTTATCGATGAAAAAAAATATATATTTTACATTTTTACAGAAATTATTTTGTCAATTGTTAATTAAATCAATCTTTTTCTTTTAGAGCTTTCTCTCTCTTTTTTTTCTTTTTTATGTAAAATAAAATTAATTTTTTAGAATAAAATATATAGAATGAATTGTTGAAGTACAAAGTAGAAGCTCCAAATTTTTATATAAATTAAATATATTGAAATTCTTTAGAATTCAACATGAAGCAATTGAGGTAAAAAGTAGAAGCAAAATTTTATTTCAGATTAAGAATATTTTTTGTTTTTATTTTTAGTTTATAAATGCGGATTTTTCCAACCATCTTTTATATAACCACAGCCGAAATAATTAAAGCGACATCATTATTGCTGCGGTGCCATAAAAAAAATTAAGATTTATAAATAGATTCTGTGACGGCTTTAGATGAAATTTGCGAATTATTTAGTTGAATTTGTTTGCAAATTTTTGAAAAGAAATATTGAAATGACAATACGAAAAAATTAATATTGATGCTATATCATATATGGTATCATATGTTTCCCGAATCATTTGACAGGAAGTTATCTTCTCGCGAAAAGGTCAAAGATTGGCCCGGTTTTCCCAATATCTCTGTCTCTGTCTTTCTATTTTGCGTCTCTTTTTTTCGTCCTCTTTTCCCATTTATATCTTCTCTTGATATCGATCGCTAAACTTTGAAGTTGACTGTATGAGACAACGAATGGAAATACTCAAGACGTAAGTCTGGAAATTTCATTCGCCAAACGCTACGGACGAAATTAGCGAAGTAAGTTAAACTTTCAACATTTCCTGGCGATTTTTCTGCAAATTTTTTTGTAATGTGTGATTTTACGTAATAGAATATTTTACATCACGTCTGTTGAAAAACTTAGAAATTCTCTCTTGAGATGAAGAAATTCTCTCTTATCTCTCAATTATGAAAATAAATTAAAATTATATATTTTTATTCTTAAAGAGAGAGAGAGAGGGAGAGAGAGAATGAGAAGATTTTTATGTTAT